TATTTATAACAGCCTCTTTTAAGCTGATAACAACTTTGAATATATACAAAAGCTCTACATTTATACACTCCCTCCCACATTTTGTTTTTGATCTCACAATTTACATCTTTTTACATAGTGTACCATTAACAAATTATTGTATATTTTTAATAATTTTGTCTTTTAACCTTCATACTAGAATTATAAGTGATTTATTCACCACCATTACAACATTAGAGTATTCTGAATGTAACTATATATTTACCTTTACTGGTGAGTTTTATACTTTGATATGTTTTCCTGTTGCTAAATAGCATATTTTCATTTCAGCTTGAAGAACTCCCTTTAACATTTCTTGTAAGGCTGGTCTGGTGGTGATGAACTCCTTCAACTTTTACTTGTCTGGAAAACTCTTTCTCTTTCCTTCAATTCTGAAGGACAACTTTGCCTGGTATAGTATTCTTGTTGGCAGTTTTTTTTTCTTTCAGCAGTTTGAATATATCATGCCACTCCCTCTGGCCTGCAAAGTTTCTGCTGAAAAATCTGCTGATAACCTTATGCAGATTCCCGTGTATGTAACAAGTTGTTCTCTTGCTGCTTTTAAGATTATCTCCTTGTCTTTGACTTTAGACAATTCAGTTATAATGTGTCTCAGTGTTCATTTCTTTGGATTCATCTTTTTTTTGGAACTCTGGGCTTCCTGGATCTGGATGTCTGTTTCTTTCCCATGTTAGGGAAGTTTTCAGCCATTATTTTTTTGAATAAACTTTCTGCCCCTTTCTCTTCTCCTTTATGGGCCTCTGTGATGTGTATTTTGGTTCACTTGATGGTGTCCCATAAGTCCCTTAAGTTAATCTTCACTCTTTTTCATTCATTTTTCTTTTTGCTCTCTTGACTGGATGAATTCCACTGGCCTGTCTTCAAGTTTGTTGATCCTTTCTTCTGCTTGACCTAGTCTGTTCTTGAACCCGTTTATTGAATTTTTCAGTTCAGTTATTGTATTCTTCAGCTCTGTGATTTCTGTTTGGTATTTTTAATATTTTCTCTTTGTTGAAATTCTCAGTTTGTTCATGCATTGTTCTTACCTCAGTGAGCATCTGTATGACCTCTCTGTATTTAGAACTCTCAGGTAAGTCACTTATTTCCATTTCGTTAAGGTCTGTTTCTGGAGTTTTATCTACTTCTTTTGTTTGGAACATATTCCATTGTTTCTTCATTTTCCTTGATTCTCTGTGTTGGTTTCTGTGCATTAGATAAAACAGCCACTTTGGCCAGTTCTTGACAGAGTGGTCTACGTGTAGGAGATGAACTTCATCAGTCAGCCCTACCCAAGGTCTTGGTTGCCTCTCAAACCTTTGTGATCATCCAAGCCGCCTTCTTTGTTCTTGGTGTTTCCTAATAGCTGAGCGTATGTCAATACTGGTCAGTGCCTCAGTGGGGAGGATCATAGTCAGCACCTATATGTAGGTTGTGACTGGAAGCTGGACCCTCAGACAGCAGCTGGGAAAGTATGTAGTTAGGCCCCTTCCCAGGATAAACTGGAAGATGGGCATTTTTGCCTGTTCCCTTTGCACTTGGCCTGGGTGTATAGCTGCGGGGGTTGTTCCTGCACCTATTAAGAACTGCTGCTTTGCTTGCTGCAGTCCTGTGGGACTTGTGAATGCAAGCCCCATTGGCTATCAGAATCAGTGATCCAGGAGTCCATCTCTTGGGCAGCAGCTGAAAAAGCTGAGATGCCAGAAATGTGTATAAGCTTCTTCTAGGGAGATACTGGGGACTTGGAGCAGACTAGAGGGAGAGGGCAGGAGGAGGTGTCAGTTTCCTGGTCTCGGGGGATGATATCAGTCAGCCCTAGATGCATGCTAAGTTAGAAGCTTAACCCTCAGGAAGCAGCTTTTAAAGTATGCAATAAACCCCTTTCAGGGAAAGTCTGGGAGATGGGTGTTTGCTCCCTCTGCTCTGAGCCCTGGGAGGATAGCCAGTTAAGAACTGTTTGTTTGCTACAGTCCCATGGTACTCATGAATGGAAGCCCCATTGGCTCTCAGAGCCAGGCAATCAGGGATCCCTCCCTTGGGTGACAGCTGCAAAAGCTGGGGCACAGAGTGTATAAGCGCCTTTCTGGGAGATACTGGTGATTCGGAGTGGGCTAGAGGGAGCAGGCTAGAGTTGCAGGCAGAGGAGGTGTCCACTGGCTTCCCCAGTCTCCGAGGAGGATGGCAGTTAGCCCCTAGATGTGTGCTAAAATTAGAAGCCTGACTCTCAGGCTGCATCTTCTAATATATGCAAATAGACCCTTTTCAGGGAAAACTGGGAGTTGGTGAGTCCTCTAGAGCTGATTAAGAACTGTTTCTTTGTTATAGTCTTGTGGGTCTCATGGACGCAAGGCCTGTTGGCCTTAAGAGCTAGGTGTTTGGGAGGCCCGTGCCTCAGGTGAGAGTCATAAAAGTTGGGGCACTAGAACGAAATCGTCCCATTTGCAACAACATGGATGGACCTGAAGGGTTTTATGTTAAGTGAAATTAAGCCAGACAGAGAAAGACAAACCCTATATGACCTCACTCATATGTGGAATATAAACTAACACATGGACTGAGAGAACAGTTTGTTGGTTACTGGGGGAAGGGACGTGGGGGAGTGGGCACAAGGGGTTGAGGGGTGCATTTATATGGTGACTGACAAATACTAATGTACAACTGGAATCTCACAGTGTTATAAACTATTATGACATCAATAAAAAAAATTTAAAAAGTTGGGGCACTAGATGTGGGGTCTAAACCCTTTGTTCTTTGGGGAGAACCTGGGAGTTGGGAGGTCCCTCCCAACTGTATGACACTGTGCTGGTGGTGGGGTTTATGGTGAGCGCATGTCTCTCTCAGCCTTTCCTACGTCTTTTGATGTGGGTATCTTTTTTTTTTTTGCTTGTGAGGAAGATTAGCCCTGAGCTAACATCCGACGCCAATCCTCCTCCTTTCGCTGAGGAAGACCTGCCCTGGGCTAACATCTGTGCCCATCTTCCTCTACTTTATATGGGACGCTGCCACAGCATGGCTTGATAAGTGGTGTGTCGGTCCGCGCCTGGGATCCGAACCCGTAAACCCGAGGCCACTGCTGAAGCGGAGTGCGCGAACTCAACCACTACGCCACCGGGCCAGCCCCTCAATGTGGGTATCTTTCTCATTTGCCCATTGTGTAAGGTAGCTCAGCTAGAGTTTTGCTTTCTTTCAGAGGGAATTGCTCCATGTGTAGTACATTCTTTGTGTGTGTCCATGGGAGGAGGGAACCAGAACCCTCAGATAACTAACTCCTTAATGCTGATGGTACTGTTTTTTCCCCACCTTGTATTTTCAAAGCCCTTGTCTGAGTAACTCATTGGATACTTTGTTTTCTAGCTTGGGGTTTGACACAGCTTCACTTTTTTTTTTTCTCAGTCAACATAAATTCTAAGCAGTATTCTTAATACTCCATATCAGGGCAGAGTCCATTTAAAGAAAAGTAAGTCATTTCTAGAATGCCTATCAAAAGATGCAAGACCATCCCCCCCAGGCTCCCCTGCGCCCACCTCCACAAGACCCCCTGACCGAGTCTCTGTTTAAATCTTCCCCAGCTAGGTATAATCAAGTTTAAATATCAAAAGTGAGGAAGAGTGGGGAGCAGTTTAGAAAAAGAATGTTCTTTGTCAAACTTGACTTACCTTTACTTGTATTTTTTCTTTAAAACTCTGTAGTTTTATTCATCCTAATATTCATTTTTAAAAAGTTACCTTAAGTCAAACCTGTAATTTTTCAAACATCTGAGAACAAATTAGGCCTGCACTAGCTAGAGAAAGATGCCATCATTTAGGAAAAGATACTAATAACAAGGCGGATTGCCTCTTTTCAATCTTATAATATTATGACTATCATAGCATTATTACTGTGGAATCTTTGGTCCTCATTTTTCAATAAAGAAGTATTTTGCTTGTTAGTTTTTAAATGAGTAGGTCCCTCCCCTATAATTTTGACTTTTTTTCATCTCTCAAAATCAAGTTTCACAGGGTATAACTAGAGAAACAGAAAAATCTCTACCCTCTAGAGGTGCCTATATTTTGTGGCAGGATTACTGTCGTCAATAATTAAGAGAGCTTCTCTAGCCATGATTTACACACAGTTTATTCAATGACTCATGTAACTTAAGAAATAATTGCACAAAAAGCTACATAAACAAACAGAAAGTATTAAGTAGCGTGACAAACAAACAGCATACTAATTGGGCTCCTGATTGTTCTGCTGAGCATGAATGAAGGGTGATGCAGGGTGATAATCCGGAGGCAGCACCTCATTTAGAAATGTCAATGTGTCAATAGCAACAATAGCTGGTCCTTACTAAGAAAGGTCAATATAGAAAATCCAAATTTATAATCATGCTGACAGATAAGTAAGTAGTTTAAACAGATTATAAAATGAAATCTTAAGTAACAAATTTAGCTCTGCTGCTTTAGAGAAGAACTGTTAGATCTAGGTATTTTTTTAATATTCCTGAATCAGTCGTCTTTTTTCAGGAGACTTTTATATCTTGGGTTTGTAAAATAGCCAGTGGTACATGGACCCTTATGCAGGTTCCTCATTGTTTCTGCTTTCCCCAAACTTAAGCTTTGTGTTAATCCCACAGGTATATTGCTTTCATTTGTTGAAGCTAGTCAGAAAAATTCTCGACTTTTCACAGAGAACTATAAAATGTTAGTGGCACTTTATGTAAAATACAGGCCAGTGGGTTACGATATTTTCTCAAATTGCTCTCTTAAAAGAGATTTTTGTCAGAAATGAAACATGTAGCATTCTCTTCTAAACTTGATTTCCATACAAATGTGAAATCTTGATTATGCATACTATTTAAAAATGACACCATACTGAGGACAGAGAAAGATAGTATTTATGTATGGTAAAAAGGCAAGTGAATGAAGCTATAATTTTATTTCATTTCTCTTAGTACATCGACAATTGTTTCCACCTAAATAGATCTTTAAAATAAGCATACACAAGTATTGACTATTATCTACAAATATTTATTGTAACACTTGAATAGAACTACAGGAAGCCCTTGGCACTGATAGAAAATATTGATTCACTGTTAGGTTACAAAAATTTATACATAGCAAAATTTAATGCTCTTTACATAAAAAATATTAGACTACTTAAACAAAACTTTCAAAAATTCCTGGTAATAGCTACCAGAATTAGAAAAGTAAAATTAGGCTTTAGACACTGCCTCCTCTAGAACACTGGACTCTAACAGCACCTCCACTGCTGGGAAAAATATTTAGGTCTGTCATGCAACAGGAAAACAAAACACCAAGCTATTCTGGAACAACTGTTCTACACAGAAGAGAGCTTCTCCCAATTAAAAAGAAGTCAAGATCCAAATAGGCATTTTTAGGCATTAACAACAACAACAAAAAGAATCCAAATGAAATATTATACTTGATGTACAATTTTAATAGCATCTTGATAAAGGTATGCTTCCTTTCATTTTAATACATTTCTGCACATGTATATGTTTTTAAATCCAGGAAACAGCCAAACCACAAGTTAATTCTTAACATGAATATACATAGTTAACCCTATATTATGCAGCCCCTTTTAAAAAGCACTGATGCACTCAACAGTTATATGTATCATTTCATAAAGAACAACACAAAGTTTACCATCACTAATACCCAATACCTATAGTCAATATTCTGGAACACAATGATTTAGAAGGCAAGTTTCTTTTGAAAATGGCTTAAACTCAAGCAGTTTTTTGCTGAACATCGAACTTTATTATTCCAGGAAACTAAGATGTAGATAAGAAAAAGTGAAATAAATACCAACCCTAATTTAAATTACTTAAGTATTCAAGTCTATAAAAGTAGGAGGTCTGTGGTCTATTTGTAATTAGGTCTTAGATAGTTGGTATGAAACTGTAAACTCACTATTGAGACCACATAGAAATGGTTTAGAATGGTGGTCATTTTAATAAGGTAACACTTCTTAATTAAGAAAAACATTTGTGGAAAAAAATTCTATGAAGGGTTTTGGGTCTCCCGTGGTAATATAATTCTTAGAAATTTAAAGCAAATACTCATTAAGGCAGAGCTGACATGTATTTCCCAAGGAGGATGACAACTGGGTCATTTTATTAAAATGAAATCTATTATAAAATTGATTCTTGAAAGCTTGTCAATGAGTTGGAATCCAGCTCTTCAATGGTAGGTGTAGCAGAATGTATAGTAGCTCCTTTCAGTATTATTGAAGAAAAGATTTCTGATTGGATCAGGAAATTAATGTGCCCTGGACTTAGAGGGGGGAAGTCAGCTAATTAAAAAAAACAGGGTCAATTGTAAGAATCACATTATCTTCGATGAGCCACAATTTAATAAATGTCAGTTGTCAGAAATGGAACTTCACGCCAATTCCATTTTATCCCCTATTTAGATACATTTATTTGGGGACAGATGGCATACGTGAATTTATGGTCACATCCCTTGATGCTGACACATCACGGGTCCCTATCAAATTTCAAAAGGAGGAACAATCATTTTGTCAAAGTGTTGCCTTTTAAAATGGTTAACACGAAACCTCCAATATCTGTTCTAAAGAAAAAGATTTACCTACTGGAAGGTTTTCCTACAAATACATCCCAGCTTGAGACAGCCAGTGAAGTGTTTGTACTTCTACATTAGTTTGTTTGGTGGGATACACATCTGTACTGCAGAGCAGCTGTCTGATGATTTGTCAGAGCTGTCAATTCGTCGGCTGAAACACTGGCAAACGTTTATGTGTAAGAATTGAGTTGTTCTTTTGAGCGAGACTGGATATCTTGCAGTTCCTGTTCTTCCTTTGCTTTGATATCCTGGTAAGCCTGCATTTTGCTTGCATCCTTTAAGTAAGCCCAGTTAGAAGACAGTATCATGAGGAAGTGGATCTGGAAAAGAAGGGTGAGCATGATGGCTAGTGAGCATGTCAGAAGGCAAAGCAAGCTGCTATAGGCAGATTAGACGGTCTTTACTGTGAAAAGGGAGAGCGTTATTCTCTATTAATACTCAGTCTGCTATCAGAGGCATCAGATACTGAAAGCATGCTCTACTAGTGTGCTTAATATTAAAAGGCTGAAGAAAAGTTAGTATACAAACATAATGAACTTGAAAAAAATGGCCAAAGTTATTGTTAAAAAAAAAAGCAAAAATGAAATACGAGAAGGAGCTTTTTACCATTTTGAGAGTAATTTTAAAGACTGATGCAGAAGTTCAGAAACACATTGTGTGGTTATTTTAAAATAAATGTAATGGAAAGATCTTTTCTATCTGTGGATAAAATCAATTCCCCCAAAGGCCTAAAAGTGTGAACAATGTTTATTTTGAGTAAATAATAAAAACTACATATTTAACATGGAAAAATTAAGTGAATGTCAAAACCAAAATTAAGAACTAGAAGCAAAGCATGCAATCTCTGTGTTAACACATTTTTAGCGTGAAACTACATTTTTCATTTTATAACTGCCATTATTTCATTTCACAAAATATAAAAATCCTTATTGTCATTCTTTACAGTTGACGTGGCAAACACTTCTTTCCCATTTCTTTTCCTCATCTTTCCTGCAAAATCTCCATCTCAAGTTCCTTATATTTCATATTTCCTTCTCAACATATTTGAGACTTTCAGATCCAGGCACAATTTCTCTTTCCACTAAAATCTCACGTGCAGTTTGAGAACCGGCTATGAGGAATCAGTTACTGCTCACCAAGACAGAACAATTTAAGGTTATCAATTTTGTGGGCTCTGAAAGGAATGGTTGTGTTGTGTTTAAAAAAAATGATTTTTTAGGGAAAACAAATGGGTGGCCTTTCTTTTTCTTCAAATTTTCATCGGGCTTATTTGAGGGGCATTTATTTGGTAGTGAACCATGTAATCATAAAAAAATTTTTAATCAAATATAAAATATATTTGTAAAATATTTTCCAGAAAGAGTCTGATAAAACAAAATCCAGATTAAAAAGGTTCTCTTCCATCTCATCTTCAGCACTTGTTTTCATTTTCATCATTGAAATTGGTCATCAAGCAAGCAAAAATAATGGAAAGTACAGGTATTCCAAAGTTTTAATACTTCATTTAGAGATACTGCTCAAAGTTTAAGTTCAAGAAAATTACTTTTTAATGGATGCTCACCAATGTCAGTAAGTAACTGAATCCTTTTCAAAATGCGGAAATAGCCAGATCTCATTATTTTGTAATTCATGTACGGTAAGTCATCTTATTAATCTACCATGCGAGATGAGTTGTTGACTAAAGCTATTTACAAATTACTGTAACAAAACTGCAGAAACCGAGACTCTGCTTTAGTCTGGGGTGTCAGTGGTATTTCACGCTACATCGTATAGCTCTCTAAAGCTCCTTATTTGCCTTATGCAATTTAGAATTTAGTGCAGCAATCTTCCCGACTCTTAAACTTCAAAACCGCATAGTTATATGTAGTAGCCATCATGTAGATCAGCTGGTGGAAGAGAACAAAACAGGACAGTAAGATACAGGTAGTGAGGGCCGGGGCCATGACACTTCTAAACTTGGGCAGGGAGGGGTGCCAGCTCAGAGCTGAAGGTGTTTCTTTTTTCCCGTTTATAGATTTAGGTTTTCATATCTAGCACACACAAACTCTTTCTCATTTCACATATACAACATAAGTCCTTGGCTCTGCCCCCAGTACGTTTATTAACAAGACTTGGGTGTGTTTAAAGAATAACAACATAGAGAGCTGGGTCAGCAGCATGAGAAAGATGAAGCTAAATGCCCTATTTCCCCTCATCTTCCCCAAACTGCCTACTCAGCAGCAATTAGTCCTCTGCTTGCCTATTGCTCAGCCAAGAGAACAGGCAGCAGCTCGGAGAACAGGTCCCCACCAGGATTTAGCAGGTTGTTCTGTTCATGGGCTGTCATGGGAAGGAATGACTTAATGGTTGGAAAAACTGGGAATGACTCATTTCTGAGCAGCTGAGATCCCCCTTGCTCTACCAATCTTAGATTTCTTGAAATTACAAACCAAGCCCTCCCAGATTACATATATATACGTATATCCCAACATACAGATACTTGTGTGCGTTTATACAGCTGATCCTCATTATTTGCAGATTCCATATTGGTGAATTTGTCTACGTGCTAAAATCTCTTTGTAACCCCAAAATGAACACTCATGGCACTTTCACGGTCATTCATGGACATGCCGAGTGGGGAAAAAGTTGAGTTGCCCAATGTGCACGTTCCCAGCTGAGGCCAACCGAGGCGACCCTCTGCCTTCTTGTTTCAGCTCTCAGACTGTAAGCAAGTATCCTTTTTGTAATCTATTTAGTGCCACGTTTTTTGCATTTTTGTGATTTTACTCTTAAATGTTCCTTAATCATAGTGCTGAAGTGCTGTCTAATGTTTCTAAGTGCAAGAAGGCTATGAGGTGCCTCACGGAGAAAATGCATGTGCTCAGTGAGCTTCATTCAGGTTTGAGTTACAATGCTGTTACCCGTGAGTTCAATGTTAATGAATCAGCATATATACTAAATAAGATGTCTTTACACAGAAACACACAAAAGAAAGTTATGTATTGATCAGTTTGACTAAAATGTTGTGACCACAGGCTCACAGAAACCTAACTCTGTATCTCCCAAGAGCAATGGCTTGGTATTTGCTACCTCAGCGTTCGAGAAGACTTTATAGAACATCACTACTGTGCCTAACAAGAGCAGCTGTACATGTATGTATGTATGTATATGTGCATATTTCAATTTGGAAATGAAGGTTTCCTGGCAAAGAAATGGGTAATGCCTCACATGAGCATCTGTCCATGATGGAAGTCATGAAAGTAAGTGCTAAATATGCAACAATGCAATATGCCAGTCTTAGTTAACAGGTGTTCTGGGTGTTGGTACCCTTCTTTCCACAGAATCCAAATTATATTACCTACAATCGCTGCCAAGACAGCCAACTAGTACTTCCTGCAATTTAGACAGGTGGTAAGTTCACTCAGGTGAAATTTAACCAAGGTTGAGTCCCAGGATTGTTTGCTTCAGTATGCTGAAAAGCTGGAAGGGAAACCTGCCGTTATAGAGACTGCAGAGGGCCGGAGCTAGACTAGGCCAGTCCTGGGGCCGTTACTCACCAGGGCAATGACGGTGGCACCAGCTCCTGCACAGGCCACAATGAACAGGTGATAGGACATGTAGAACTAGGAAAGAACAGGGCGCCGACATAAGCATTTTATGTGGCAGGAAATAGCCTACACCTGTTGCTGGGTGCTTGCGTGCTCTCTCTTCAAGCCCAGTTCTCAACCCTGGCCACACATTGGAATCATCCGGGGGGCTTTCAAAACTTTCTGATGCCCAGGCTGTAACCTAGGCCAATTAAATCTGAGTATCTGGGGGCTGGGCCTCAGCCATCACTATATTATAATGATCCTCGAAGACTGCAATGTGCAGTCAAGGTTGGGAGCCCCCGATTCGAGCCGATATATCTTATGAATATATAAATTGACTAGCCAGGGAGGTAGGGGCTGATTATTTTGGTAACTCATTGCTTTCCAAAAGCATGTTAGGATTTTCTTAACTATGCAAGCTCCCACTAGTGCATTTAATCTTTTATCAACAGTTATAAACCCATGCCTGAAGAATATTCTAGGGCTGAGAGATTTTAAACCAAAGTGTTAGGATTTATTGCCAATTAAGGGTGAACAAGAAATAAGTGAATCACTCTGGAAACATAAATGATTAACTTGCTTTATATACAAATTCAGGGGAATCTTTTCTATGAAAATTTACGTTTGTTCTACTTTGTAACAACTGTTAACAAATGTTCTATTTTGAAAAACTATCTGAAGGTGAAAGAGAAGAATCTACATATATTTTCATTGTTGCAGGATTGGGATCACTACAAATTATGGCCAAAAGAGAAAGCTCTCTGAATGGGCTGGACCATGTGAAATGGCCATTTTCTAGGTCAAAAATGGCTGAATATTGGTGATTACATACAGTTCAGTCTTAAAGAATCTGCAAAAAAGAGTTCCTTACTAGCATCTCAGCCCTTTCTCCTACTCTTTCTACCTAGGAGAACCCTTTTTCTCAGCCGAATTTGGGAAGCGACCCTCTGTGAGCCCTCGGACCTGAGCGGGGTTTACCTCATTGGTGTTGCAGATGTTCTCCAGGGCGGAGCCACAGATCTTTCCTGGGAATGCATTCCATGGAATGATACCTACGAAGTGAATCCCAACAGCACGTCAGTTATTAGTATAGACTGCAGTGCCTCATGCTCGCAACTGTCCTCACCACTTTAGATGTCGATTACCGTGCAGTCATACCCTACATTCTTCACCAACAATTGACCTATCTGCCCTTTGCACAACAAAATTTTTCCAATAAATAGTAAGCCCTATTTGGACAGTAGGGCAAGAGCCAAGTCAACTAGTCCATAACCTGATAGATTTTTTCCCCTACAAATTATGCTGTTTAGTTGAGCTGATATTTGTAAAAATTGATCTTCAAGGCTAGGTTTTCCCTACAGTGAATTTATGAACCGTAAGCTGCAGGACGACGCCCCTCCTAAATCATTTCTTCATGCTGAGTTCAAATCCATTTCCCCATGAATTTCATGGTCCGTGGCCTTGCTACACAAGCTGTTTGTTAGTGGTCTGCCATGAGATGAGTTCCAAATTGCAAGTCTACACTCAGAAAGTTTCATAGCAATGTGACAGAGAAATTTTTTTATGTTATGTAATTTGGATTTTTTATGTCTTTGCTTTTATATTTTTATTGTGTTTTACAAATGTATTGGAAATAGTTTTGGATTGAAAATCCAATTGTAAATTTGAAAAAGAAGAAAAACACTGTCCCTCACCACAGACCATAGGGCCAGCATGGTCTGTGGTGTCTCTCTCACTGTAACCCTGAGTCCCCTTCTCCAGTGACATCGTCCACTGGGCTGCTGATCTCTTCCCCATTAATGCACAGGTGTGTGCTTAAATATTAAACATAGCTCAAATTACATTTCTCCCAGGAGGTAAGGAAGGAGGATTAAAAAAAAATTCCTTATTCCTTCTATCTTTGTCATAGGCCAAGAGTAAGTCTTTACACTTCAGAAGAATGGGAAATGACAAGTCCCCAAACTGTCAGTGAAAGCAGTGATTTCAAATCAGAATTTAAACAGATGACTACTGATGACCAAAAATCGGTAGTAAAAATATTTAAGAATAGAGAAATGATATACATTTAGACATACATTTACAAATACTTTAAAAATCAGCTTTAGGCTCAGTTTTTCAATCCATCATAGAGAACAGTGTGGTTAAGCCTTGGTCTTGATGAGAAGAGATTAGTCCGATGGGCAGTTTTAGGCAAGTTTCATATTATGTTGTAAGATAAGATGTTGAGGATAAGCCACACGGGAAACACAAGAAGCAAAAATGAAATAGTCATCTCTTTCCAGAAAAGCTCTGAAAGAACAGTAATTTCCTCTTCAATTTTAATGAAAGGTCTTTCCCCACCCCACCTCCGTGTTTCTGCCAACAACAGGATTTGCTGCCATCCTGGCTAGAAGCACTAATTAAACTCCTTGCCTAGGATGCTGCCTTCCCTCATTCAGCGGGGAAGGCGAGTCTCAAATTAATTGACAGGAGCAGCAATGGCCCCTTCTGTGGCTTGTCAAAATGAACCAACCTTAGCTGCCTATTGCGAGGATCCCATTCATTAGAAAATGTTTGAATGGGTTTTCAACATTCTACTTTTATAGAGTATATTCTGATGACTTTAAAATACGTCTGGATTTTATGTTGTGTTTTTCAGTATAGATGAAGTTTAAGCAACTGGTCATTTAAGAGAGACCTGATTTGCAGAGTTGGATGTGCAAATTGATCGGATTATACAGTGCATGCAATATTTTGGATGGAAAGTTGGATGGTACAAAACTGAAAAGAAATTAAAGAAAAAATATGTAATCATTTTATAGTAGATATCCAGAAGTCTTTTTTGATTGAATTGTATTATAAAGTAGCTTCGCATTATAAAAAGTCTTTTTCACTACATACTTAATTTGAAAATATAATAATTTTGAATGATGCCTTTTAGCAACTAAGAGCCTGAGTGATGTTTCCAAAACACAGAGCATATTGAGGGAAAGAGTACACACTATTCCAATAGAAGAATGTATGAAGCAGATCATGATGATTAAAAAAATGCCCACGTAATACTGAAGGTCCAGACTTATGCAGAAGAAGACAGAAATTAATCGGGGGGAGAATTAAAAGGAAGTACCGTATTGCCGGATATCCACGCAGATCTGCTCCACACCAGCTGTCCCGTTGGTCTGGGGTGACTTGATGACTTCACAAGTTGACCATATGTTGTAGAACATAAACACGGGCACTGCAGAGAAACCGAACACGCCCAGCCAGGCCACTCCCAGCACGTAGGTGAGGAAGACGAACTAAGCCGAAAACAAGAGGGAGAAAGAATCATCACTGAAACAGGCAAGGTGCGTCCCCTGGGAAGAATGATTACGCATTTCTGGCCTGATACTGGACTTGTGGGGTGCGTTCAGAGCACCACCTGGGGCCATGGTAGCGCCAAGGGAGGGTAGAACCGAGGGCTGGCGGCTGGGGCGGGGTGGGCACGCCCTCCAGAGCTAGGATAGGATCAAGAATGTTACCGCCGAAGCCATTTAGGGACTTTGCAGGTCCCTCTTTTAACTAAGAAGGACAGGAGACCCCAAGAGGTGATCTCCCTTGTCCAAAGTCACAGAGCTAATTAGTGACAGGGCCTTCCACGTGGTGCTCTTTCTAACAGCAGTCCTAAGAACTCAGAGCATGGTAATTACCGTGGGATAGTGCCTGGATGCTTTCACAGGCCACTGAATTATAACCTCATATTACTTTCTCAAAAATTACCTTTATTTTACATAATAGATGGGTAGTATAATAGCAGTTGCTACAGGAAGGCCTTTCTCAAAAGGAACTTCACTTAGTTTTGTGATCCTGTGAAATTACTAACAGCATTAGATGTTTAAACCTATGTTAAAAGTTTAAAATAGCCTTGAACACAAGCTTAATGAACAGTGTATCAGATAAAACTGTCATTTCCCTCTTGTTTTTTTCCTCTTTAAGATTCACAGCAGCTCTGCAAGCAAAGCAGTGGCTTAGGGAAAAATCTTCATGTGTTCACCCACACGTTGCCATAGGCGATTTTAGGAGGAATATAATCATATTGCTTTACTTTCTTCATAACCTTCTGCCTTGACTACCAATTTACAGAGAACTTTGAAAGGCTGTTTCAAAAACGTTGTGGTATTTATATTTTCAGAATGTGCACCCACAGAGTGTGTGGGTGAGGGTTTGGAATTCTAGTTTGGCTGTTATTTTTTTAAGCTGATACTGAAGACCTGGAGATTCAGTCTAACTTTCCACACTGCAGGAAACAGCTGGATGATGCGAGGTCGGCCTGGGGGTCAGACAGGCTGCCTCATGTTGGTCACCCCCAGGAAACTGCAGAAACAGGTTACTTTTTCTTTTATTTCAAGAACATTTAAACTTTTGGAGGTATTTGCATTTCTAAAAATATTCAAAGAAGCAGATTTCAGCAGTTTCACACCCTCTTCCTCCCCAGTGCTCATGGATGGGCTACTCCAGACTAGGGTTTCTTTTCCTTACCCTTCAAAAGAATACTTTCTTTTTTGGCGAGGAAGATTAGCCCTGAGCTAACATCTGTTGCCAATCCTCCTCTTTTTGCTGAGGAAGATTGGCCCTGGCCTAACATTGTGCCCATCTTCCTCCACTTTATATTTGGGATCCTTGCCACAGCATGGCTTGATAAGCAGTGCGTAGGTCCATGCCCAGGATCCGAACCTGCGAACCCCAGGCTGCCAAAGTGAAGCGTGCGAACTTAACCAATATGCCACCGGGCCAGCCCCAAGAATACTTTCTTTCTGATAACACCACGAAGACTTGAAAATGGGCTGGTGGTCCTTTGCTTGGTGAGCCTTCCCTTCCTGTGGTGGTCAGGACTCCAAAGGGAAGGCCAGTGCCCGGTGGAGAGAGCCCAGTTGGGGGCCATTCCTGTCATGGCAGCCTCAAGCATTCAGAGTTGCTTCCCAATTAACCCCCTGGGCAGATGCTTCCCATGAAGGACCAGTGAGACCAAGACCTTCCTGTGAACAAGGATCAGCTTTGCTATCTCTGGTGGGCAGAGCTCATTTGTCTTTTTTGCCTCATACAACTTTCTGTTGTGAGCATATTGCTCTAGCTGTCAGCCCTCCCATCACCTACATCTTCCTAACACGCTCGAAAATAGGTCCATTCAATGATCCCCTTGAATGTATCAACAAAACCAGTGTTCAAGGCACAAGTGGCCAGTAAGGAAATGAATGAAGACAGCCTAGGTCCTCTCTGCATAACAGTGGCTTGTCAACTTTTTAGAACAGATCTTTTCTCAAATAAAATCCAACATATACAACAGGTAAAAGTGGGCTTTGCTGGTTGGGGGCAGGTCTTCCTGCTTGGCATGGTGGTACAGAAGCCCCCATGTACACCAGCCCCTCCCTCCATGAGAACAACTCCAAACACAGGCCTACGTGATCTCCCACCCATCTCTGGGTGAAGGGCCCACTGTCTCCAGCACAAGCTCCTTGTACTCTCTACTGTCCCTGGTATGTTAACGACTGTTAAGAGGTAAACTGAGGCACATTAAAATTTCTGAGAAATTTGAAGATGTATCTGAGCATACATCCATTTGAATGGGGCAGCACCAAACCAAAAGCGACTAGGAGGCTCCAGCAACAGGGCCTAGGGGAGAGGTTTTTATAGACCAGACACGGAAGCAAAGCAAGGAAATGATCTGACTGGCTGTAGCTTATGCAGTTGCCTTATTTGAGACAGCCTAGTTGGCTGTTTGTGAGTGGTGGTTCTTAAGTTTCATTTTCTCGGATTCCAGCGCATGGACTCTGACTTAGGTTTCGGTTTGCTTAGGTAGGCTGCCAAGGCCTTAGGGCCACCTCCGACCACGGCCTCCTTGTGTAATGACTTTAACTCATCAAAGCTCAAATGAATACTTTAAATATCCAGAATGTTAAACATCAGGCAGTTGCTGATTGAATACTACGCCCTGGCAGAAACTGGACCCCTTTATTCTTGAAACCTGAGTGGTAGAAGTGAGGGCGGGGGAAGCTGCCATTTTAAAGCTGCCAGGAGTTTTCAGTTCTTTTCCTCACTTTTTGTTGCTATTTTCTCTCAGCTTCTTACAGTCATTTTTTTTCCTTTTTTTACAGTTGCCTCCTTCTCCCCAAAAGTAACCATTCCTCTGACTTGTATAGTAGTCACTTCCTTGTATTTTTGTAAATAACAGCTTTATCGGGATATAATTTACTCCTGAGAGTTTTAAATTCATTTACTCCCTTGTTCTATGAACTTCACCTTCAAAAGCCAAAGTGACAGGAGAATCCTATTTGGGATTTGGAATTGGAGAGGTTCGAATCAACAAAGAATGAAATCACTCAGCAGGTGAGTGGTGGCTTTCATCGCTGGAGGCAGTTTGTTTTAGGAACATGGTTTTCTGAATAACACTCACTGTGGAGACTATTTGTTCTGGGGAGAGTCTTTGTCCCTGGGAGACTGTCCCTGGGTGCGTGTGCATGCGTTCTCGTTCTGAAGTCCCACAAACGCTGTCAGTGCAGATGAACGCAAATGTTGGCATATGGCCCCTCATAGCTTATCATGTTCGGTTGGACTCCTCCCTGGGGGTGAAGGGTCTCCTGGGCAGGGTGGATCTTGGGTGGAACACAAAGTTGGGGCCAGACATGCTGAAAGGCACTGCTGATGTGAAAGAGCAACAGGGCGCCGGCAGGGCCCAGGAGGGAGAGAGGAGCAGGGCCCTGGGGTGGGGCCAGGCCCATGGACTCCAGCAGGTGTGGTTTCTGCATTGGCATCTTCTCGCAGCCCCCTGGCCTCAGTAAGACTGTTACATTTATAGCCTGGTCTTAGCCATGCGTAAGGAATTAGGGACTGGCCAAGCCCCAGGTGGGGCACACGGGTACAGGAGGGAGCAGCAGCCTGAGGCAAAGCAGCTCAGGATGGTGGGAGGCAACCTGCCGGAGAACAGAGGCTGGACAGAACCAGCGGGGCTGGCTGCGGGGCAGGTTCCTCTGCAGGATCAGGGCAATGTGTTGGGCTGCCCAAGAAATTTCCAGAGATCACTGGGTGAGAGACCTCGACCCCAGGCACCACTTACTGTAGCCTGTGGGATGCAGGCTCAGGTGACTGTGAGGTGGGCACTCACGGGAGGAGTGACATGGAGATAAGACCCAAGGTTACATCAAATTATCCGGACCCTTTGGGGGCATCTCCTTGGCCACTTTCTTCTTCCTTGCACCCCATGATGTTCCTTACCTGTCTAGCTGTTCTTCCCTTAGGTCCTCACGAAGGCTCCTTTTCTTTGGCCTACCCAGTAGACAGTGGTGTGGTCCAGGGCTCTCTCCCTCCCCAAACATCAGTGAGAACTTGTTCATGCCCACCACTCTTCTATGGACAACTCTGTTACCTCCAGCCCACAGTGTTCCCAGAAACCCCAGCCCAAGTCTCAGCGACACTCCAGATAACTCCACTTGGATAGCGGCGGGCACGTCAAGCCCCGACACTCTAACATGAAAGCACCTTCTCCATCCTCCCGCCCCCCTCACCTAATGGCATCCTCATCCTCCACATGTGGGGAGCCAGAGACTGGGCACTCACTCCCTCCTCTTGTGCTCACTCCCACATGCCAATCCTGGAGGCCACCTCGCCCACAGTCTTGGAATCTGTCCCCTATTCTCTACTCCACTACCGGCGCCTAGTTCAGATCTCCACCATTGCTCACCGTGAGCCTCGCCATCACCTCTTGCTAAGCTCCTCCTTCCCTCCAATCTGTGTTCCACCTCACTCCGAGATCTCGCTCTCCCAGGTGCATGATCATATCACTCCCTACTTGGTTTTGTCTTCTGATTTTCTTCCTAGCCTGGCACTCAAGGCCTTTCTTGATCTGGTCCCTGTCCCCTCGCCCCAAGCAGCATCGTTTCCATCCTTCTTTGCTAGGTCCTTCCCTTCCAGCTGGGGCACACCTTGGTTCCTTGGAGCGCCTCCCTCTTTTCTGGGTCTCTCTGCCCTGCTCATGCTGGGTCCTCTTCCCCAATCACACATGGAGCAATTTCCTCTCCTCTGGCCTGCCGCAAAGCCCTCCCTGATTCTGCACTTCCCTGTGCCCATGGTCTTCTGCACACACCTCTACTGCAGTTTCCAGGCTATTTGCGAAGGACTCAGAAACTTAGCAGGAACTAAGGGCCAGACAGAGAAGCAGCGAGGCAGTGCATTTCAGCAGTTTCCCTAGGACTCGAGGGTCCCTCTTGGGATGAGCAGCTGCCAGTGACAAGTCCATCCAGGGAAGGATCACACCTACCTTAATGCATACTGCGTCACAGACCCTTCACACGCAGGCTCACATCCGGTCACAAAGAAGTACGCCACACTCTGCGTGCCATCTTTAGGGGGGATTTCTATGAACACTGGGCTCACCGGGTGTTTTAAGCCAGACTCTATGTTGTCTCTTCACCAAGAGCAGAAAGCTCCATCAGTGCCCAGCGCACAGGGAGGCCGGTGCCCTGCAGGGAGGGCATCTATCTCCTTTGGGAGAGGGCCAGTGCCTGCAACAGCCAGCCTGGGTCTCTTCCTCAGCGCTAGCGCTTCTCCTGGCTCCCAAACTGTTTTCTTTACACTTGGCCACTCTTTCAAATGCCAGACCAACACAGCCAGCTGCTTGGGCAATATTTCGATGTGACTATGCCATCACAAACTCAAATTCAACGTGCCCAACATCAAACTCCATAAAGGCCTCTTTCTTCCTAGCCCCTCAACCCATCACTGAGTTTCCTCTTGTGATGAAGCACTTGCTAACCCTGTCTTTTAATGAGCTCTTTTTAAAGCTTTGTCCTTTAGACCAGAGGTCAGCAAACGTCTGCAAAAGGCCAGACATGGAACAGTTTAGGCTCTGCGGGCCACACAGGGTCTCTGTTGCAACTACACAGCTCTGCTGTTACAGCATGAAAGCCGCCACCGACAATACGCCACCGAGTGGATGTGGCGGGGTGCCAATAAAACTATGGTTATCAAAACTTGAATTTCATGTAATTTTCATGTATCATATTATTCACTTGTTTCTTTCCCCTAACAATTTAAAGATACAAAGCCATTCTTAGCTCATGAGCCGTACAAAAACAGACGGTGGGCCCGATTTGGCCCAAGAGCTGGAGTTTGCTGACCCCTGTCTCTCTTTAGACTAAGCTTCTTGAGGACAGGAGCCTGTGTTTTAATCTTTGTACCCCCAGTGACTAGCAAAGTCCCCAGCCAGGTGCTTAGTAGAAAAAGTGCTTGGTAAATACTTCCAGAAGGATTTTCATAGTACACAGCACATGTAAGCCTTTATGACCACAATCCATACTCAGAGACAAATGAAGGTGAGCATTGAGACAATATGCAAGTTATCTCCTTTCACAGGTGAAAAATCTTCAATACCCGTTACCTATACATTGATAAGGGAAAGGCTTGATTTAATACAACAAGCCATAGATTTTAATCTATTATCAATAATATGTTGAAGGTTTTTTCATATTCTTAACTCTAAATTGGTAAGAATAATATTTGCGTCAAGGACTCCACCTACCCTCAGTTAGCTCGTACCTTCTACCCAATACAGAGAAATACATAGAGGTTGCCTATCAGACAATCAGAGATCCGTACTCACCATTCCACTGATGCATCGGCCACAGGCGGTTGTTTTAAACTCCCCGTGCAGTTCTTTCACTGCACTTGTGGTGTAAAAGCCTTCTGCCAACAGAATGATCCCATACAAGAAGAAAAAGGAGGCAATTCCATAGATGACATACTGCATCAGCTGTATTCTAGGAAAAGGAAGAAGAGATCCTGAAAAGTTAAATTCACGGTGTGGTAAACAGATGTTTTCAGACTCTGGAGAGAGGATGTGAGGGTGATGTTCCTGTGACATCTCCCGCCCAGCTGATGGCTCCGGCGGGCTCATGGGCATTCCCCGCAGGCATCCCTGCCCACCCCACCACAACCTAGGCCTTTCTTCCGAGGCAGGCCCACTGATAAAGTGGACAACCTTCCCCGACAAGGGAGAAGTTTCTTTGGTCGGGGCAGGGGCCCAGTTGTAATCCTTTACTACTTACTCAAGTCCTGTGCTGTGAAGGCTAGAATCCTCATTTTGCATGTAAGTAAACACAGGCTTTGAGGAGTTAAGTTACTCGTCCGAGGATACACAGCTAGTGGCAGAGCCAGCATTTGAACTCTGGTCCAATGGACAACACGTTCTTCTGCCATCCAAGTGCCTCCCAACCAGGCCCAGTGGTTCATGTTATTCTGATAGAACCCCTAAGTAAGCACTCAGGGCTTCTTTAAGGACTAACTTGGGCCGATGTTTTTTGCATTGAGATTCTCACTACACAAGTGATAACATGTCAAGTAGGTTTAAAATACAAAAGATAATTCACAACTAATTTTGTCCTATGAAAGCTGACAGACCCAGATGACTGTTCCTCAACCTTTGGATGCCCATTGGAACCAGCTGGGGAGCTTTAGAAAATACTGGTACCTGGGTATTTTCCCAGATTATGAGATTATAATTTAATTATACGATTAAATTATGATTTGATTAGTTTATGAGACTATTAGTTGATTAGTTTAAGAGATTATGACTTAATTAGTCTGGGGTGAAGCAAGGGCATAGGGATTTTTTAAAGATTCCTGGAAGTTGAGAGCCACTTATCAAGATCACTAGCGAATTAAATCAACACACCTTTCCGGGTTCAGTGGTGGTAAATATTTATTGGTCTTCTTGGCACATAGATGGCACTCAACGAGTGCCTCGTCCTCCTTGATGCTCCTTATAACCTTCCCCCACCCCTGCTTATTTCTTTGGATGTCATTTATGAACAGATAAAAAAAGAACACAACTCCCTAAGGACTCTTCCAACATGATTCCATTATTGTTCCCTAAAAATTCATTCATGCCTTTTTCGGTCTGGTAGAGAAATTTCTTACAATCAGAAGATACCTAAACACTGTGAAACTTTGGGAGTCAAGGAAAGAATAAGAAAACACTGAAACAAATGGAAAAAGGAGGAAATACATCAAGGAAGTAAATACACTGTTGCTGAGCTTGCACAGTTATGAGAATCTATGCATGGAGTTGTTGAGACTCCACTGAGGACCATTCCAGAATGGGAGGGCAGAGATTTCAGGCTAAACCCCTAAAACTTCTCCTTTTCTGCACTGGAGGATGCCCTGGGATTTGTTCTTCTGCCTGATGAATTCATGTCAAAGTGCTGCTCCTGTAGACGTAGAGTTGGGGTAAGGCCTCAGTAGGGTTCCTATCATTCCAGGGATGGCTATTTCCTGTGAGAACCCTGGAGGGAGTCTGTTACTTGGGAACCATGATAACTCTCTCTGGTGTGATCAACCTATCACCTTGCCACAGTCCCCCACATCCACGGCTACTGTGTGTGGAGTATGCTATGCGTGCACCTTGCCATTCCCAGGTGAGATCCCACCCTGGGGGCCAAACAGCCACTGCATTCTTGGCCCTTTCTTTTTCCTTCTCTCGTGGACCTTTTTCTATCTGCATACAGTGAGCTTTAATGAAAAGCATCAGTTTTCTGCCAGGAGAGCACACCGTAGTCTTTTTTAAAACATCATGGGGTGGTTTTTGAAAACATCATGGGGTGGTTGCACTTTAAATACATTTTTAAAGGGAAGCAGGTACTTACACCTCACTCAGCAAGGCATGGTCACTGGTGTTGGTGGAGAAGTGTTGCTCAAGAATCGCCACGGTCCCCGCAAGAGCCACATGCCCACAGCCACAGAACAAGGCGACCCCGGAGAAGCAGAGGATGGTGGCCACCAGAGAGGCGTAGGGGACTCCTCCCAGACACTTGATGCAGCATTCAAAGCAGCCTGGACCCAAAGGAGAGAAAATGCAGCTGTTATAGGCAAGGTGCCTCTGGTCTCCATGAACACCACACATTAGCAGAGAAGGCTCTACTTTTCTATCTTCCCTCTCATGCTCTATGGTTAATAGCTCAACATCCCAAGGGCCAGCGGGGTAGTTGTCATCATCTCACATTCTGTGGGTGAGGATGCTGGGGCTCCAAGAGGGAACGTAGCTTAATTTGCTCAGGGCGAATGGCAGAGCAGCCAACTGACAAATAGTTATGGAGTAAGTCACAATTCTAGAGCTTCCTGATTGACCCGGGGTGGAGAAATGGGACCCCTGCTCAAGAAACAATGCGGAGCAATTATTCCACTAACAAAGTGAAAAGAGAGGACAGCAGTGAAGCCGCAGGTCCATGAAAAAATGCGACCGTCAAGCTCCCCCAACCTCAACCTTCTGGGGTTTCAAGTACCTCTATGTCTGTAGCAGCCAATGGCTTTCCCCGAGCCTTTGACCTCCTGGGCAACCAGAAGAATCAAATACAGTCATTATACTGTTGCTGTGTTCAGAAAAAAATCAACATGATCATTTTGGAAAGGTGATGGGTATTTTGGTCTCTAAAAGTACAAAGTCACCAAGATCCACTAAAGGTTCATTCATGTCAGTATCAGAAATTACCCCTCAACTTTTTAATAAAAATGTACCCCCAGCCTAGGCAGCACAAGCAGTTTATTCATAGTCCTCTTCCTCCTCCTCCTCCTCCTCCCCCTTCCCGGCTTCCATCTGCCCTCTTCCCCGACACACACGTTCAGACTAAGAACCCAGAACTAGTGGGTGACATTTAAGTACTTGGAGAGGGAAAAGGAACAGAAGAAAAAAAAAAAGGCAAAATGAGCATCCATGAAGTGAAATGAAGGAGAGAGAGCCACAATTCACTCTTCATCTTGAGAAGAGTAAGACCTGTATTCATTTTTAAAATAAACTTTTACTTGAGATGTCCATAAAGACCTTCCCAAGGGGCAGAGCTGGGTGACATTTTCAGTTTGGAGACACTTCTGTTTCAGTCGAGCAGTGCTGGCCTCGGGATAACATCAGTACCTGACCTCCCATCCCCGATCATATTATCTAGACCCTTAAGTAAATGGCTCATCAGGGAAATTGAACTCTGAATGCATTATGATGTTTAACTGCAATCAAGAGCAGTTCATTACTTCAAGGCAAGCACATTAAGCCAGCTCAATTTCTTTCCTCCAAATGGTCTTTACAGTAGACAGGGAATGACTACCCAGCATAAAACACTGGAGACAGGCTTTTCTATTTTGATGAACATCGCTTTCTAAACTAGCATTTGCTTAAACCAACCACAAGAGGTGACTGCAAACTCTCATTACCAGATTTCTCTTCAGTTCGCTGCAAAATAAAAAATGTCAGGGCCTCATAAGAAAGTGTGCTTCCTTTTATTTCAAAAGATGACCAGCTGTTTTTATGAAGACCAACCTCCCTGAAATGGATTTATGAAACTACATACAATGGGAACCAGTGCACAGTACAGTTCAAGTTCTCCAGCAAGTCAGTACCTTAAAGAGCTTCGGATACTTGAGATTTGTAAACAAGGATGATGGAGTTCAATCTTATTTTGTCATATGATTTTCTGGGGGCTGAAGTGAGAACAGTGCAACTAAAAGTCCATATTCTCTCCAGGCTCCCAAACCAAGAGAAACTAAAATCCCCGGCCTCGTTGTGTCCCATTATATAAAGATAAACTAGACCTGTGTGTGTCGTATCATTCACCACCTCCCCCATTCTCAGTCTCTGTGATGATGTTAGGAAGAAGATGAATGCCTGCTTCCCTGGCTAACAAAGTTATATCTGGTCCTTACCAGACAGAGATGTGTGGCCTTGAGACTGTGTCATCCAATATGGAAGCCACTAGCACAGGTGGCTATTTAAATTATTTAAAATTAAATAAAAAATTTCCATTCCTCAGTTGCACTAGCCACATTTCACATGCTCAGTAGCCATATGTGCTAGTGGCTATCATATTGGACAGAGCAGATAAGGAACATTCTATCATCACAGAACACTGCTTTGAAAGATATATTTTGACTTGCCACATATTTGATTTTTTGTAACATGAGCTGAGTTATGAGTTTTACTTTAGATTTCATTAATTCAGTACCTTTTGAAGACCTACTGGGTGCTAAGCACTGTGCCTGGCACTGGGGATACAAATATGAAATAAGACGTCGTCTTTGCCTTCAAGGAGGTCAGTTTAATGCTGCAGGTAGATAAGTAACATAATTATTATAGTATAGCGTGATGAGGGCGAAGATATAGACTGCTGGAGAGCCAATGGATGGTGGGTGTGGGGAAGAAGGAGAGAGACAAGGATAGGAGGGAATATAATTCATATTGGAGAGGGGAAAGGAAAGGCTTTCTTTTTTTTTTTGTGAGGAGATCAGTCCTGTGCTAACATCTGCCAATCCTCCTCTTTTTTTGCTGAGGAAGACTGGCCCTGGGCTAACATCCGTGCCCATCTTCCTCCACTTTATATGGGATGCCGCCACAGCACGGCTTTCCAAGCAGTGCGTCGGTGCGTGCCCGGGATCCAAACTGGCGAACCCCAGGCCGCCGGAGCAGAGCGCGCGCACTTAACTGCTTGCACCACTGGGCTGGCCCCAGGAAAGGCTTTCTACAGAAAGACCTGGTATGCAGGATACATAAACAGCTGACATGGTAACACTGATATATAATCTGAGAAAATACTCATCAATTTCTGAATATTTTTATTATATGTATATTTTAATAAACCCACAGGCTTTCTCATCATTTGGAGTTAAGGTTAGGTGTTACGGCGTAGCACACTTGCCATTTAACAATAGAACTCATCCTTCCAAAGCCACAGTTGCCACTTCAAAACAGTCTTTCGTCCAAAGGGTTATAGCATTCTGCTTCTTTCAAAGGAAATATCACAGCTGCTCCCTGGCTCAAAAAGACGAGCGGGGTTAGAAGAATGATGCTGTTCAGTCCCAAATTCACCACCAGATCAAGGCTCAAGTTTCCCTGCTATTTATATCTCTCAAGGACTCCATATGTCCCATGCTGTGGGTCTAGTTTTATAACAGCAGGGAAAACCAGGGACTCAAGGATTTGGGGGATCCCTTCAATGAATCAGACTCTCTCAGCAGATGCCAATGCTCTCATGTTTTCAGCAGATGATTTTATTTGTGGCTACAGGAACTCTGGCTCCTGTAGAACAGAAGTCACCATATTGGTTATCGTTGGTCCACACACACAGATAAAACTCTTCTAGACCCTGCCAGCCACTGTGAATACAAGCTTGTGGAATACAACATGGGAAAAATTTATAGGAACTAATACAGCTGGATGCAGAGCTTAGTCTAGCTTGGTTGACCAGTTACCTGCAGGGCTCAAATTGCATGTGTGGTGGATATTCAACCATCTATTTATGGTACCTTCTATGTCAGTCTAGAAGTTATCTCTATCCACGGTGTGTAAGATATCTTTGAACACTGGGTAATTTGGTCATAGGCCACACACTTATCCCAGAGAAACCAAAACTGCTAGAAAAAGTTAATAAGAAAAACCTAAAGATGTTTTCTAAATATGGATATCAGCAGTGTTAGTGTCCTCACATTAACAGCATTTCTGACTCGAAAAACATGTAAGTAGGTATGTGGCAGAGGTGGTGGAGGCCACGATGATGATGTGTCTTCAGGCCGGCCTCACAGGTGTGCAATCTGTGTAGTCTCATGGGGCCCTGTGCTTGGTTTAATGCTCTGCTATTGCCATCTTGAAATTCTTAATAATTTTTGAACAAGGGTATCTGAATTTTCATTTTGCACTGGGCCTGCAAATTATGGAGCCAGTCCTGGGTGTACTTATGTGGGAGGAAGCAGGAGGGGTTCTTTTTACTTTATATGTCCACAGTGCATTCTATTTCATTTCACAGTGTTAGAAATACAACCTAGAAAGGCAGACATCACCTTGCCTACCATATCATCCTGAGTACAGCGGCCATCAAACTCTATATAAAGGGACTAGCCATGTCCTAGAATTAATGATTTCCCCTTCACTGTGAAAGGGAATAGCAATTACCCACTACAGTATCCATCACAGAGTCAACGCTGAAAGTTCTCCTAAACCAGAAATCAGCAAACTATAGCCCATATTTTTGTAAATAAAGTTTTATTGAAACACAGCTTACACCCACTCATTTACAAATTGTGACAATTTTTGCCTTACAATGACAGAGTTGCGTAGCTGTGACAGAGAGCGTATGGCTTACAAAGCCTGAAATATTTACTATTTACAGAAAAAGTTTGCAGACCCGTATCCAGAAGCACTGATATTCATAGTGTGGTCCCAGGATCTGCAGCATCAGCATCATCTATGATCGTATTAAAAATGCAAGTTCTTGGTTCCCACACCAGAATAACTGAATCAGAAACTCGGTGGGGGGGGGGGTGGACTCAGTAATCTGTGTTTTCTCAAGCCCTTCGGGTAATTCTCACATAGGCTCAAATTTGAGAACTGCTATTCTAAAGAATCATGCAAGCTCTTCACTGTGTCAGTTCCACCTGCTTTCTTCTATTACCAGCCAAATTCCACCACAATTAAAATCTAACTCCACAGGGGCTGGCCCCGTGGCTTAGCGGTTGAGTGCGCGCGCTCCGCTGCTGGCGGCCCGGGTTCGGAACCCTGGGCGCGCATCGACGCACCGCTTCTCCGGCCATGCTGAGGCCGCATCCCACATACAGCAACTAGAGGGATGTGCAGCTATGACATACAGCTATCTACTGGGGCTCTGGGGGGAAAAAATAAATAAAATCTTTAAAAAAAAAAAAAAAACTAACTCCACAAAACGATTCCTGGCTTCTGGCCAAGACGGAGTAACAGGCACCTAATTTATTCTCCTGCTTGAAACAACTAAACAACAGGACAAAACATACGAAACAATGGTTTTCAAGATATGAGACATCAGGCTATGAAGAACCATTAA